CCGCGGCGGAGCAAACGGTGGAGGCTGCACAAGACCAGCGAGAGGCGTAAAGAAATTGGTCAGGATCATCAAACGGGTTGGATTTGAAGTTGAACTGGAGGCATAACGGATGGAGAGGGTGGGGATTGGGATTGGAGCACGAACTCAGTCAAGGAAGGGGAACTGAGGTTGGGCATACCAGGGCTGGGAGGTTAGGGATTTATCAACTCACGAATGGGGGCATGATTAAAGCGTTGCTCCACCGAGAGGGGCTGCCGGTTAGGCAGGACCCTTAAAAGTGTGGACAGGAGTGTGCAGAAGAGGCCTGAAGGTGGCTGGGGCTTCCAGGGTAATAGGAGGTTGAGTAAATGGAGAAAACTACAGAGAATGGGCAGGAGTAGGCAGAGCCAGACAGGGCCCTGGGAACAAGGGGTCAGACTAGAGGTTGCCTGGAATGGCTGGGCATTGGAGAGGCACAGGCAGATGAATGGGCTCCAAGCACCATAGGAGTAGGAGGTAATCGATGCCTGAAGGTAGCAGTCAGACAATTTGGGCCTAGCAGACCAGGCCTTGAAGACATGGAGCTAGGAAGACCCCAAACAAACACACCAAGAGACCACATCCCCAGAGACCTTCATTCTAGTCAACAACCCCTACCTCTCCCCGCCAGGAACTAGCTCTGTCCAGAGCACAGTAGGTGCGTACCGAGTCAGAAAGCTAGCAAGAGGCCGTTTACTCTTTCTCTGTGAAAGGCGGCGGCGCAGGAGGGCAACAAGCTGCACCGATCAGGACAAATATCACATTTATTTCACAAACACTGGGTAAAGGTGGGGGTGCATATAGGAGGCCCAAGTGCACAACTGAACACAGTTGTCAGCGGCCCACTTCCCACGAGGATCTACCAAGCAATGCCTCCAAGTCGACAGGCAGCGGGAGGTGAGTGCAGAGAGAGCCCTGAACGCCAAGCCCCCTGAAAAGCTAAGGGGCACAGTTCCAGCTGTCTCAGGAAAACCACAAATAAATTAAGAGTGGGGCACAGCCCCACCCACACAGATCATCTAGTCACCCATCTTCACTCTGGAGGTCTGCAAAAGAAGAACAGGAGAAATCAGGTAGGGAGAGTGACAAATGACAGAAGTTCAGACCTAGCAAACTCATGATTGGATGGACAGACCACAACAGATGGATAACTGGACCAGAATGGACACACTGTGACAGACAACTACATGTGAACAGGAACAGACAGTCACAGTTAGAACACGGGACAGAGAAAACTGATCACAAATCCACACAGTCACTGTCAGACAAGACACACGATTCAGACATGCTGTCCTACTGACAGGTACACACAGGCCCTGAGAAGCACAGTAAAACACATAAGACAGACTCAGACAAGATCCCAACCCAGTCTAGTCCACAAGTAAGCAGACAGCAAACAAGAAAAGGATGACAAAGAGATAAACAAAAAGACATAACAGAAAAAGACTAGATGTGAAGAGAATATATAGGCACAAAACAGGAAAAAAAAACAAGACAATTGTCAGGACACTGGATCAAACACAAACATAAACTGAAAGTGTCAAAGAAGAAAACCAGAAAATGGGGACAAGGTGGAAGGAGTTGTCTGGAACATCTTTGGTTCTAGACAAAGACGACAAGCATTGCAGCTCCTTCAGAAGGAGGGTGGGGCTGGTTGGGGGCAAGAATACAGAGGATCTCTGAGGGGATTTAGCACCTGGAGGATTGCGACGATGACCCCAAAGAGGCCAATGGCGCTGCCAAAGATCTCCACGATGAGAATCTTTACAAAGAGGCTGGGGTTCTGAGCATCAGCCAGTGCAGCCCCACTGCCCACGATGCCCACGCAGACTCCACAGAAGAGGTTGCACAGGCCCACTGTGAGGCCAGCTCCAAACATGGAGTAGCCTGTGGGAATAGGGGGAGGGGGAAATGAAGCTCAGCCAAGCACAAGGGAGACAAAACAAGGGCCCAGCATGGACTAACAGGGCCAACCACTGCCCCAACTCTGCAAAGGAGGCCAAAGTAGGCAAACCAAAAAAACCAAACCTGTTGCCACCGAGTCAGTTCTGACTCACAGCGACCCTACAGGACAGAGTAGAACTGGTCCATAGGGTTTCCAAGGAGCGGCCAGTGGATTCGAACTGCCAACCTTTTGGCCAGCAGCCAAGCTCTTAACCACCGCGCCACCAAGGCTCCAAAAAAATGAAGAGTCCAAGCTGGGGTGGGGGTAAGGGTGGGGGCAGGAAGCAGGTGTGAAGCCCCAGCTTAGCGCCTTCATATACCCACCTACCTGCATGGTAGTTTCGATGGCCGATGGCCTTGGGATTAGTGGCAGTGAAAGGCTAAGAGAGGCAGAAAAGTAATCAGAAACCATTTCCTACACCACTCCCTCCTCCATCTCTAAGCATGGAGGTAGAACACACGGGAACGGATGCCCACCCCTACCAGGGTCCTCCATACCTCAGCCATGTTACTAATGACAATTGCCATGATGATGCCATAGATAGCTACAGCCTCGCAGAAGATGATGCTGGTGGTGGTAGTGGTAGGGAAAAGGAGTTAAAGGAGTTGAGAAAGAAACCAACTTTCCTCCCCAAAGAGTCCTCAGCAACCCTACCCCCACCAACATCCCACCCCATCAGAAGGCTGGGCAGGAGCAGCATGTCAGGTCAAATACACAAGACAGCTTCCAACGCACCTAAGTCTGACAATTTGCTAAAGACCCTTACACTTACCTGACCAGGTTCTTGGTCTTAATCCTAGGGGCCTTCACTCCTCCCCCAATGATGGAGGAGCCTGTAATATAGATCCCCCTAGTGGAAGAATAAGAACAGGGTGAGCAGAGCCCCAGCTGTCACTGCCCCCAAGATGACTCAGGATCCAATGACACCACCTGGCCATGACTAGCCCCTCTCCCCAGCTCCACAACCCCAATACTCACCAGGCTGCCCCAACCACAGACAAGGAGATAGCTAGACCAATGCCCAGGTTCGACCACATGAAAGGGGACGTCTCAGTAAGGAACCTGGTGCCGGGGCAGGGAGGAAAGCAATTCAGTCCTGGGGAAGGGAGCACAAAATTGACAGCCTCCCTCACCCCCAAATCCAACAGACTTTATCCCTCTCAAACATCCATGTCCCAGCAGCTGGGGGTAGGAACGTGAGGAGGAACATAGAGAAGGGAACTCAGACCAGATAAAAGGAAGGCTGCAGAGAAGAAACCCCTAGGGGAATCCTCTCCTTGCCCTCTCTTACCATGCCACATCAAAGCGGAACCCCAAGTCAAAGATGGTGTAGCAGGTTCCTGTAGCAGTGAAAAAAAGGGTCAGGGGCTGCTGTCTAGAATGAAGCTCCTCAACTTAGAGAAGGACCTGATCAGTTGATAAGCTACCTCCCTAAAGGTCTGTCTACACACAAGTCAAGGGCGAGTCCTTAGGTCCAATCCCAGGCGACAGTATTGCTGTCTATACAGATTCCTCTGCTCAGGCCTCCATTCTCAACCACTCCCTCAGTGACACAGTCTCCCAGACCGAGCCCCTCTGAAGACACACCACCCAGCAGGCCTGAACACCCTAGGCGAAGGGAGGAACCAACAGCCCTAGCCAGCCCTACCAGATCCTGCCGGCCCAGCCTGAACCGCTGTTTGCCCAACAAGCTGAGGGCCGTGGAGCAAAAGACCGGGAAAGAGGAACTGGAGCAGCCGACTCATGACCCAAGAAGGACGGTCAGGAGCAAGAGAGGGACGACAGCAGTGAGGCGGGGGAAAAGGACGGTTATGACAGGAAGGTACTAGTGTTCCTCTCGCGTTCCCCACCCCCTGCCGCCCCCCTTCCAGCAGCTGGAGATCCGGATTTCTTCTGCGGGGTCAGAAGCCCCGTCAGGCGTGAAGCAAGTTCCGAAGCCCGGGGTGCAGAGCCCGCGCTGAGGCCCAGCATCCCGGTACCCCGTTTCCCCGTTGGGCTCCAGCCCGGCCAGCGGAGACCCGATCTGCCCCCCACCCCCGCTAGGGCCCGGCCTCACCCACGACAAGCATGGTGGCCCAGAAGGCCACAGAGACCCCGGAGTAGAGCAGCACGAGCCCCGTCATGGCGGCAAGGACGGAGGGGGTCGGGTCGGTGGGGCCAGAGATAAACCCACGTCGCTGCGTTTATCGTTCACCCCGCAGTCTGTCTCCCCGCCCCACAGAGTCACCTGACTCACCCACGTGAGGCGCCGGCGCCACGTGACCCCACGCCTGGCGCTGCGCAGCGTCGCTGCCCGTCTCGAACATGGCGACGCCGGAACTGCCGGGCGCTGGGGATTGTGGTTGTTGTAGGCGCCCGCCTTGGAGGATGCCCCACGTTCCTCCTTCGTTCCTGCTCTGGCGCCCTTCTTACCGAGTGCCTCAAGCTGTGGTTGGTCCCTCTCGTGTCTCTCCAAGCCGGCTCCTGCTCAGCCCCTGCGCCCAGGCTCGCTTCGCCCCACCAGTTCTGCTTTATACAGGGGCCTGCTCGGAGGCCTCCCAGGCTTGGCCCCCAAGCCACTGCTGACCCCCTCTGGCTGCCTTTGCCGCCACTCCGTCTTCCAGCCACGCCGTTCTACCCAGTTCCACGAGGGTGCCATGCCCTTTCCTAGTTTGCTTGTACTGTTTCCTCTGGCGGAAGCATGCCTCTTCGTACTCACCCCACTGCTCGGCTAAAATCTACTGGTCCTCGGAAATCATTCCGCTCAGGACGCCTTCTGTAACGCAGACGGTGGTGGGCCTGCTTATAAAACTTGCCTATGAAAGCTAGGTCATGTCACTTCGTTTAAAATGCTCTTTCACTTATAATAAAAGCCAAAGTCCTTACAATGGCCTACTAGGCCTCACCCGATGAGACTACTCATCCCGCTTACCTGGCTTCCTTCATCTCCCATTCACCCCAACTCTATCTAGTTGCACTGGCCTCGTTGCTATTCTTTGACCATGCTAACCACACCCCCACCCCAAGGCCCTTACACTTGTTCCCTCCGCATTTCTTAATTATCCACGTGGCTCACTCCGTAACTTCAAGTCTGTTCAAACATAACTTTCTTCAAAAGGCCTTCCTTGACCATCTTACAACCTCTGCTCCCCCACACTCCCCATCTTCCTTCACAGCTTTATATTTCTCCATAGTACTTATCACTGTTGTTTGTGTTTTACATTGTTTCTCTCTCCTCCCATGAGAATGTAAGGACCAAGAAAGGATTTCCATTGACTTCACTGCTGTATTCCCACTTCCTGGCAAAGAACGGGCGCTCAATACATATTTGCAGAATACATGATTGGTGCGAACCTTGTCTCAGTTACCATGGTGAGTTTACTGCTCCAGCTCTACCATTAGACTGGGCACTCCCTGAAGGAAGAGACCACATCTCCCTTCTCCACCTTCATATTCAAGAGATGTCTTTTCACTTCACCTCTTGTCGACCTTATGGGTCCAGCAACTTGACTTGCTTGAAGCACCCACCACACTGGTTAAGCAGTGGTTACCCTCTGCCCAAATGTCCTTTTCATTGTATTTCTCCTGACAATTATTTTTCCTTCAAGAGATCTAGCTTAGGTTGCACCCTCTTTAGGAAGCCTCCTCAGGGCTCCTACTGCCTCTGTGGCTTGCCCCCTCACAGACCACACTGTTTCACTACATTGTAACCATACTGTGAGGACATGAATCAGGTCAGATTCACTTCTCTACCCACAGGACTAGTGCAGGTCCTACAGTGTTTGATGAATAAAAAGCAGTGGAAGGGGAAAAAGTGTCTGGTTTATTCAGGTTTCTGTGAACTCCCTGAGAAACAAATCAAGAGTCACTGTAGACCAGTGCTGTCCAACAGAACTTTCTGTCATGTCGGGAATGTTCTATAGCTGTGCTGACCCCTTATTAGCTATTTAAGGACTGGTAATATGATTAGTATGACTGACAAACTGAATTATCAATTTTATTTAATTTTAATTAACTTAAAATTAAGTTTAAATAACCATGTGTGTCTAGTGACTATGGTATTGGACAGTGCAGGCCTACACCTGTTAAACCACTGCCATCGAGTCGATTCCGACTCATAGCGACCCTACAGGACAGAGTAGAACTGGCCCATAGGATTTCCAAGGAGCGGCCAGTGGATTCGAACTGCTGACCTTTTGGTTAGTAGCTGAGCTCTTAACCACTGTGCCACCAGGACCCCAGGCCTACACCTGTGGTTCTCAACTGGGGAGAAACTTTGCCCCCACAGAGGACATTTTTGGTTGTCACAACTGAGGAAGAGAGGTTACTGGCATCTAGTTGGTAGAGGCCAGGGATCATACTAAACATCTTACAATGCACAGGACAGCCCCTTTCAACAAAAAAATATCCGACCCAAAATGTCAACAAGCCCAAGGTTGAGAAACCTTGGTCTAGACCATCTAGCACCTGCCCTTTGACAAGAGCAGACCCTCAACTACAGTCCAGGAACTGGAATTGGCCAGAGGTGCTGGTCTATTCCCAGGACAGACAGGCTCAGAAGGCCTCAGGGAAGCTCCTAAGCTTTTCCCCACAACAGCCAATCAACAGGCATTTACTATGCCAATATGTGCTGAGTCTTGTGCCAGTGCCATGACAGGACAGAGCTGGGTCCTATCCTCAGGAAGGGGTTGCCTGCCCTCCCTCCACCCAAGCTCCTTCAGGGATCCTGGCAAGGCAGTGGGTGAATTGGTGCAGGGAACACCAAAAGTCTCAGCAGTGATTCACTAGTTCATCTGTGTCTCTGGCCCCATATGGTATCAGCTGTTTCCCTCATCCTCATAGGCGATGGCAATTCCTCGTCTCCCACTCACAGCTCCTGTGACCGGCGTCTGACCCAGGCGGGGCTCCAGCCCCTGCCAGCTCCGGGAACTAAGGAACAAAGCTGCAAGGGAAGGGAAGCTCAGGCTGAGATGGCTGAATCTGGGGGAAGAGTTCAGCTGGAGGTGAAGACGTGGCACACTCACCTGCAGGGCTGCTCTCAGCCAGTTCCAGCTGGGGCCGCGGGGTCAGGGCTGAGCACCCAGGAGCATTTGGTGGTTTCCAAGTAGGTGCAGGTCGGAGCTCCCCAGTAATAAGTGACACATCTGGAGTGTCCCACAGCTCTGAGTCAGGTGGTGGGAGGGGCACATGGAAAGGAGAGCCTGGAAGGGAGGAAAGAAGTAGATCCATACTGGCTCCCCCACCCCCACCCCAAGTGTTCCCAGTTCAGGCAGTGCCCCACCACTCACCAGGCAGCATGTCCGCATAATGTGTGAGGTGGGGGGCCAGGCCTGGAGGCGGCCAGGCAGGGTTGCAGGCAGCCTCCAGCTCACATGGTGCCAACACAGGTCGGAAGAAGCCACCAGAAGGCTGGGGAGCCAGGGCACCCAGAGGACAGGCCAAAAGCACAAAGACATCCACTTCAGGGAAGTTGGCAAGCTTGGCAGGAGTGGGCCGCCCCAGGGCCAACACATAGCTACGCTTGCCAGCAGCTTGAGTTAGGTTCCGAAAGTGTGTCAGGGCCTCACGGTATCGGGCCACACCCAATGTGCCTACCAGCAGCCCCACCACATGGGCATCTCTGGCCCGCTCCACCAGGTACTGTCTGCGTGCCCTTAGCCTCCCAGCTCGGGCACTCTCATCCTGACACTGCCCTGTTTCTGGGCAGCAAGAGGAGAAGGGCTGCCCCGGTGCCCAGCCCAAGAGCAGGCGACTCAGGTCTGGGTCAAGGTCAGAGCCAGGGCTGTCCTTAGAGCCCCCCACATAAAAAGCACCATACTCCTCCAGGCACCTTCCTGGGGCCAAGGGGAAGCAGCGTCCAAAACGCTCCAGGGGCTCAGGCACTGAATTGAGGTAGCCAGTTGGCAAAGGAAGAGCTGGGCTGGAGACAAGCAGGTCCAGGTACCTTGGGCGCAGGAGAGTGGCCAACGCCTCTGCGGGGAGAGGCGGTGATGTCAGAAGCGGGGCCTGGCAAAGTAGGAGTTCCTCCATCCCCAGGAGACTGAATGTGACCCAAAAGCAAAGGCTAAGGCCAATCCCGGAACAAGAGCTCTATGAAAGTGTACTAAAATGGGGAAATTAAGGCACAAAGCAGTTGGCCCACCCTTCCTACACGTATAACCCCTCACCCAGGGCATGGGCACAGGCTGGCTCACTCAGCAGCACCACAGGTGCTGTGGCGTCCGGGTTCAGGGCCTCAAAGGCCTTGGCACAGAGCTCCAAGGCTACAGAACGTTGACCAAGGACGAAGGTGACGGGCAGCGGGCGGGCCGGAGGGCTCAAGCAGGCGGGGCCAAAATGTACGAGAGCCTGAGCTCCAGCTTGCTCGGCGCCCAGCACGTCCACACAGCAGCTGCAGGGGAGAGACCATCAGTGAGAGGGGTTCCTACCAGGAAGGGAGTTGCTGTTATCAATCGGGAACACGGTCAGTGAAGAAAATGTCATCATGAAAGAAAGACACCATCGTAGAAGGCACCCAGCATCAGAAGAGAGACATCATCATCAAATAAACACTGGGGACAGACATCGAGGGGAGCCTGGATCGCCAGCCTACCTCACCCCAATCCACAAGCCCAAATTCACACCTGCCATACGCCGTGTCTCCCAAAATGAACATCTTTGACCCCGTGATCTCTTCCAGTCGTGTAGCCACGGCTCCAGCATCTCCCAGTAGCTGATCAGGGAACTGCAAGGCCACCTGTAAATATAAACCAACCATGGAGTCAGAATGGCCTCTCCTCCCTCCTCCAACACCCAGGCGCTCCTCACAGGGAAACTTTCGGGTAGACTCTATTAAACCCTCAGAGCCCCTCCTCCAGAGGAGTACCCCCAGGCTTATCTTCACAAAATCCCCATTCTCAGGGAGACCCTTCCCCAGAGAGACAAGGCAACACCCCTTCCCAAGCCTGCCCTCACCCGCTGACACCCCAGGTCGCGGACAAATCCAACGACTCGCTCCAGTTCATACACTCGGTCCAAGTCCGCGAGAGGAGTGAGCAGCCCTCCGGCGCCCGCCTCCCGCTGCAGCGACGCCTCCGCTGGGCTGCTGAACGTAGACTCCATGAGGGACAGCTCGGGGGCAGAATGCTGCGGGAACCTCTCTCGGTCAGCTTCAGGTCCCCCGTTCTCAAAACAGCCCTCGCCGGGTCAGAGTCACGTTACTTGGGGAGAGAAAGTCTGGCCCAGCCCGCAGCCCACCCATCTAAACACCCGTTTCTCCACTGCACATGGGCTTATCCCGGAGATCATTTCCGGGATTTTCAGGCGGGGCTGGTAGCAATTTTACCAATCCTAAACCAGCACTGCTTCCGTCCTCCAGTCCTCCCCAGCAAGCCTGCCACAGAGAACCAATGATCTGCCTCAGAGTGCGAGGCCAACCGGAGGTACTTCGAGGGAGGCGCGGAGCCTTGTGGGTGTTGTAGTCGTCCTGGGGCTCCTCTGAAGGCGCGAGGAGTTTCCCGGTTCCGGCGGCCTCTGGCCCTCAGGACGCCGCGACTCCCTGAAAACAACTGCTCCAATTTGAGCAGCTCCTATCCGCCGGACACTATTAAGCAGTTGATGCGCACTCTATCACCTGGGAGGTAGCATTGTATAATTTGTTTTTCTTGCATTGTATAAATTTTTAAGTCGGGTGCCAAATTGCCTAGCTTTGAATATTGACTGGTTCCGCCACTTAATTACTGAGTATCTCAGAAAAGTTACTTAATCTCTCTATGCCTGTTTCCTCATTCTGCAGAATAGGGGTTGTAACGATAGTACCTCCTAGTAGGATTGTGAGGATCAAATTAATTTACATATAAACCTTTACAAGGCAGTCCTTCGCATATCACAAGTACTCAAAGCATTTGCTGTTATCCTTACAGCAGTCTGTTAGGCAGACAGTGAGCACGTAACTGTTCAACAGGCTCCATACTCTTGGAGCTGACTTAGTCTTTGGTGTAAGACTTACCCTAATTTACAGATGAGAATTATCCTAATTTACAAAGAGGTTAACTACCTACGGAGACACAGCAAGGCAGTGTCACAATCAGTATCAAACCCAGGTCTATTTGATTTCAGAACTGGGCTTTAGACCCCTCATTCTTGTAGCTTATATATGGTACATTCAGTGGAAGAGGGGAGGAGACACCTGGATTCCATGTAGTAGGAGCAAAGGACTAAAAATATGTGAAACATCTCCACATCTCCCAGGAGAAATGAGAAATCAAGTGTAAAGCGAGAATGGGACTGAGGAGGGGTAGAGGAAGGGGGACAGAGTGGTTTCAGGGGTTGGCAGATGACAGAGGGGGACTGATGCTGACTGGCATGGGAGAAGGTGGACTAGGATGAACAGTGGAGGACACTGAACTTGGACATAGGTTGGGAAAGGAACAGGAGGAGTGGGATGAATGTGGGAGTGACCTGTTCCCCTACCATCTCCAAAGAGACTCAACACACAAAGGTGGGAGTGAGGAGACCCCAGTCCTGCTCTTCAGGACTGGGGTGCCTGAGAGGTAGGTGAAATTACGACCAAGGAGACAGAAAGGGAGACAACCTTGCTAAGGGAGGAGTGGAGAAGCAGTTCAGGAGCTGTCCTTGGTCCTGAATAAGCCCATACTATTCCATGCTGGATAGAGGTGGGAGCTGATGGGTGCACAGACAACACTAGCTTCTGCCTTCTTCCTTCTCTGGGGCCCATGTTGCCTCCCCCATACTCAAACTCAGTTCCTTTTTATAGCTCTCTTCAACCATGTGCAAGTGTGGGTGCCTCTACAACTCCACACCAGAAACCTCTCCTGTAACTCAAAGCCGTGCTCCTTTTCTCCCCTCCTAGCTGGCCCAGCTCCACCCTACTTCCAGTCCAGGTGTTGGTAAAGGCCTTTGCCTCTACTTAAAAAACCTCCAATTCCCATCAGAAATGAAACTTCCTCTGTGAAGCCTTTCCTCATGAGTCTCATTCTCCCAGCTTAGCATAGTAGCTATGGGCTAGATCAGCCTTTGTTCAGAGCAGAACAAGGCAGGACAGAGCTAGGGGCCTAGTATTCAGCACTGTTGATTAATGAATGTATGCATGCCTGCAGTTTGGTACTAATTTAATGGGGGAAGGTTGCTGATCTTACTGCAGCCCCTACCACACCTCCAGGGCAACGGTAGTATTCTGACCAGTTCCAGCCTAGGCAGCTTGGCTACAGCAGTGCCTCTTCTACCCTAGAAGCCAGACAGTATCCTCACCCTCCCTACCAAGGCCTGAGTCCAAGCCTCCTCCTATCCTTCCCCCTAGGCCTTCTAGGGTCACCAGTCAGGTACTGGTGGCAGCAGAAAGGAAGCAGAGGCAGCAGTGAGGAACCAGCTTTACTCTTTGGGGATAGAGACGGGCAAGGAGGGGTAGGTGGGCGGGGCATGCCCCTCAGTAGTCAGCTGTGTAGTCTGTGCCATGTAGCCCGCGGCACAGCAGTGTGAACTCCTTCACCATCTCCTTCACCCGCCTCTTGTTCACTCGCTCACTGAAGGAGGGAAGGGAGAGCAGGTTAGCACCATTCACTACCTCCGGCTCTTCCTCCTTCCTACCCTGAGCCCAGGCCCACCCCAGTTGTGCTCACCGAAGGATCTGCTGGCTGAAGGTGTCCTTCTGTTCAGGGCTAAGGCGGGCAGAGGGAAAACCAGGTGGCTGCAGTGCCTCCTTAATCCACATGCTCAGGAGGCTGAAGCAGTGTTTGTTCAGGGCGAACAGGATGTCGGCAAAGCAGTCCATGAGGCTGCGGGAGGCCTGGCCCCCAATGGCCTGAGGGAGAGGGGCTCTCAGCACCACTAGGGCCCCTCCCTTCTGCAGTAAGGGTGCCAGGCCACCCCCACGCCCTCCTGAACAGTTCCCCAGCCAAACTGGATATGACAAGCGAGTGCTGCTTTTTGAGATCCAGCTGATCCTCACAGCAACCCAAATAACTCAGCCATTTAATTGAGGAACAAACACAGGATCAGAGGGCCTAGGGTGTCAAAGGCGTGCGTTTCCCAGAAAGCCAGCTGACTCAGCGGCCACCCCAGCCCCATCTCACCCCTCCCGCTCCATCTCACCTCCAGCACTGCTACGAGCAGCATACGGCCATCCTCCTGCACCACCTTTCCCACAGGTTCGACTTCCCCACACCGAGGCAGCAGCTCTGTCTGCAGAGGATGGAGAGGCCCATCAGCCCCAGCTCCTTCCCACCTCTCCCCGAGGACAAGACCTGCATACCACGCCCCTACCCTCTGGAGTCCTGCGTAGGGAGGGATGGGTATGGGGTAGCAGGGGTTAGCACAGGACTCACAAAGAAGCCACAGGAGGCCTTGACAGTAGGCGCCTCGGGGAACTTGAGGGCCAGCACAGCTGTGGGAGAGATGGAAGCAGATCAGATGGGGCTAGAGGATCCAGGGGTGTTGGGGAGGCCCAGGCCCACATGTCCACCTGCCCCACTTACCACACTGGAATACAGCTTTGACATCCAATCGTTCACACAGGAACAAATCTGGCTTCCGCTTCAGAGCCTGCAGGAGGTGGAGCTGGTAAGCCCAGCCCCAGCCAGCTCCAAGGGCCATCCCCCCACTCACCTGCCACCCCAGCCCCCAACTCTGTGCATGACAGGTTAGAGGCTGCCAAACCAGCCACCTAGCCATCTCTGGGGGACCCAGACCACCCCAGAGTCCAGTAGGTCAGGAGACGAGCAGCCCAAGTGATGCTGTGTACATGTTCGTGTACATGAATGCACAGGTGTATGTGAGAGAAGTTGGGGGGAGCACAATGCAGAAATCTTAGGTCCCAAGTCACTCCCTCAGCAAACAGCTCCCGCCTGCCCCTCCAGCAGGGCCAGACCTCCTACAGGTTCCTGGTAGCCAGCAGGGACTTCACCTTGACTCACAAAGGTAGGTGAGGCCCCATGGGCTTGTTAAAGGGACAGCAGACAAGAGATGGCAGCTGGACATGGATCCCCCAGTCCAACAGCCCCCCTCCCATGTCCCATCTGCATTCCTCAGGCACCCTCCAGCTCCTGCTCAGGAAGAGGGAAAGGAGGGTAGGAGCCCTGGAGCCACAGCCCCACCTTTTACCCAGGACACCCTTTGTCCAGGTCCTTCTCAGCCAGATTGACCCCAAGAGCCAGGGCTGCCATGTGTGGGGAGAACGGATAGAGTAAAGGGAGCAGATGGTCCACCCCAAGTGGTACCAGGACAGGACTGGCACATCCTCGGATCACAGGAGACACTATGCAGAGCTCCAGCATTCCTCAAACACTGCCCTTCCCCAGCAACCCCCCAATGCGTAGCACACAGACCCCTAACCTCCAACCCCTCACATACCTTCCACCCCCATGTTCACTCATGTGCAAACATCCCCACATATACCCTCACTTTAAACACTCACCCTGTCACACCCCTTACACACACACTCTCCCCACATTCGCATCACACCCTCACTACGTATTCACACACCCAAACACCCAACCCATGTCCACGTGCCCATAGCCTCAATTTACCTACCATTCTCCAGCATATCTACACTCTCCCTACACACCCATCCACAAATACACTTAACACCCTCACCTCCATCCAGGCCCCAAAACACACTCCCTACTCCTCACTCCTACCACCCCTGCAAAGACTGTAAATTCCAAGACAGCAAGTACTGTGCCTGCTTTTGCTCACCATTATATCCTCGGCACCTAGCAGAGTACCAAGCATGTATTACACTCAGTAAACATTTGTGGAATGATTAAGCAAAGAAACATCATATACTCAAACCCACAGGAGCCCTTCCACACACAACCCCTCCCCCACTGCTCCTTCCACACTCCCACAGCCCAACACATATCTTTTCCCAAACACACATACCCTAATACAGACATACCGACACCATAATACACACTCCCACAGCTCAACACATCAGTACCTCAAATCCATCAATGCCTAACATGCATCAACAACACACATCAATGCACATGCCCGCACTTCAACCACACACTTACCGCAACATCAAACACAATACACACACTACTTAACATTAGTTAGGTGATTTCTGTTGCCATTCCAATCCAGACTCAAAACATACAAAATAAGGGCCAACACTCTTGAGCACACACCAAACACAAACGCATCCTAACATGGTCTCAAATGGAACGTGCTCCCCACCTCCCAGCAGCAGCACAACCTCTCTAGCAGCCCAACTCTGGGCTCCACTGCAGCACATTCATCTTCAGCCCCTCTCTTCGGAGCTCCTCCCAGCC